CAAGACCTGTACAAAAATAGTCTGGGGAAAGCCTACCCTCACCGGTGGCTATTTTGAATATGAGTATAAGATACCATGGAACCCATTGTGGTGTATTGATATTCAAAAGGGAAAAGGGAACACAAGTGCCCGGAATCATAGTTGGCACCACTGTCTTGGAGAATTTAATTGTACCCAAATGATAAATTGTACTATGGGGGCTGGTGACCCACTGGAAACCCGGTATAGCCCAGAGCTGAGAATGTTCATTCGGGGTATGTGTACATGTTGGGGATACCCAACATACGGTTTCCGACAACAAAGATGAGATCTATGTGAGCGAGTAATGAACAAAACCAGTACAAATACATCCTTAGCAACTTGCGGAATTCCCTTCTCCCATGATCCCACATATGCGAACGGTGGGGGAGGGAGCAGCAGGGTGGACACTTGCTCTACTGCCAGGTATGCGTTCCCATGGGGCACAGTTTGGGGATGCTCGGGTGGAAAATTATATTCCCATCTTAATGTGAGACTGCATGCCGGATTACAGTGTGGAATAGGAGTTCCTACAAGGTGTCCTTCTAGGGCATTCAATTTCTCAGTGCCTCATCAAAACAGAAGGTGCCGGGAAAGTGATGGGTCCCAGGCACGACCCGAGTGGGCAGTGCATGGAATCCGAGTACCCAATTGTTATACCTGGGGCATGACAACTTCTCTGATGTTAGAAAATATATTTACCCCATATGTGACCCTTAAAAGACACCAATTTGTCTCAGAAAATCTGACCTGGCAGGTACATGTCCTAAGCAATTGGACCAATCAGGCCTTCGGGGAAATGAATGTACAGATTCAACAGGTGTCTAAAATGACTTTGCAAAACAGATTAGCCTTAGATATGTTCTTGTTAAAAGGGCAGGGGGTATGTGGAATGTTAAATCTCACCGATGGAGAATGCTGCCTCACCATACCTAATGCAACTACCACCACAGAAGAAGCGCAAAAGAAGATGAGAGAGGTGTCGGAGCAGACCGGAGAGCTTTTCCAAGCAATGGAGTCGAAAGACTGGTTTAATGGCTGGAGCCCTGGATCTTGGTTCAACTCCCTCCTGAATTCACTGGGACTTATAGGTTGGGGAAAATGGCTTTTAAATATTGCTATGACCTTGGGCTGTGGATTCTTGTTTTTGATGATTGGCCTTGCCATTGTAAGGTGTATGATTTCACGACTTTTATCTTCTCTATCCGTTACGTGAAAATCACCACCCTGGATGAAGATTATATG